GGGAGGGGAGAGAGAGAGAGAGAGAGAGAGAGAGAGAGAGAGAGAGAGAGAGAACAAAATCAAATGAATCTACCGCTAGAACATAGAAATATACATTGCGCACATGCGCACAGCACACCAGACGTGTGCAGCGCACCGCGCAGCGCGCACTGCGCACCCAGATGCGCGGCGCGCGCCGCTGCGCGTGCACCCTGGGTCTGCGCACAGCGCACAGTGTCGGTGCGCCGCAAGTATGCTCTTGATAGGACCGGTGCAAGAAATCTGCTCTTTCAAGCGGGTTATTGGGGGCGTAGACAATTGCCATAACTATTTCCTTATCACCCACAGGTACACACAACGTCCTTCTTGATGGTCATATATGTGCGCTAGAGGGACCAGTCTTGACAAGGGAGGAATCCAAATGGCTACCCCTGTGGAGACCGCTGATTTTGCAGGTGCTCAGAGCAAGCCATATGGCCCCCATTTTTCTTTGGCTTTCTGAGCTGGAATGTGAGTGAGGTGAGTTTCCTGCACACAGACTGCGTCTGGCCACGTGCCCTGCCCCTCCGTTTTAAACATCCTCCAGATTCCATCTTTCTTCTCCTGGGAGGCCGGTGTGAATCCATTTAGATGAAGTGTTCTTATAGTTAGGTCCGCCCTGGTTATCTTACGTGTCCATTCCGGTGGCCTCCTTGTTGGTGGCGGAACGTGAGGCTCAGGGGCGGTGCAGGGGGGGGCGCAGCTGGAGGTGGTTGAAAAATCACACAGTCCATATTCATGATCTACTCACCTTCCCCATATACCCCTGGACAACTGTCTTGCTCAGGCCCCTGTTAGCAGCGGGTATGTTCCCCCCTGCAGCTCCCTGTAGGAGTGAGGGTTTATGAAGTGAAGGGCTGTTGGTGCTTTTTCAAAGTCATCGTCTGAGTCCGACTTCCCTGAGCTGTGTGATCGATCCTTTTGCTGCTCACTGTTTGTGTCCTCGTCAGAGCTGCAAGGTGAATCTCCCCCTCCCGGACGTGCGGCTTTTCCATGGGAGGGGCCAGAAGGTTACTAGGGATCCTTTGCAGGATTGGGGGCATCTAACTTGTTCCTCTCACTTCTTAAGACTGTTGGATACACTTTAAATACGAGAACTGTAGATGTGGTCCTCCTCTTTAGGACATGATGAACCCTAAACCCCTTCCGGTCTAGTTGGTATTGCTTAAGAATATGCTTAACTTCTATCCTCTTTGTTTTGTCCTTTCTTTTCTATAAAATTTACCTGGTACTAAAACTTAAAACCTAGTTGTTTTAGCTGTCCTGTTTACCTTTACTTGTAAACCCTTCTTATGGTGTACACATATTGGTAACTTCCTTGCAAAACCGGTCGAAGCTGATTGAATCCAACTTATTTGCAAACAAAAAAGAAAAAAACTCATAAAAAGCCAACGCAGCCCCATTTCAATGTATT